ATTCTCCCAGTTCTCCAACCAGCTCAGCGATTCGATTATAATCGACTTCGAGCTCGATAGCTTTATCGTCCTCTTTGCCGACCGCAAATCTTCGTAAGCCCATCTCTTTGTAGGTTGGCTCCGTTGTACTGCCGCGTTTAATGACGCCCGTCTGGTGCTTGCCCGTACCAATGGCACCTACAACTCCGCGCTCGGTAGCGATCGCACTGTGCTTCTTCACCGCACCCATCGACACCTTGTTGTGCCTACGCCCTTCAAGGGCCGCCGTCGTGCTATTATCAGCACCCGCCTCAGCAGCTCCTACCATCTGCTCGTTGTGGATACGTGATTCGTCGGAAACAAGTGTGTTCGCAGCTACATCGACAAGCGAGGGTCTCTTGTTGGATTCCCGTGTCCCCGCAACCGCTTCATCCGCCTGCTTCCCTTCCTTAGTCCGCTTTTCCTGGAAATCCGCACCGTATTCAGTCACTACTAGGTCAACCTGTTTCAGTACATCGTTACCTATGACCACTGCATAGCTTAAGTCGCATTCATTAATTACATGGAACATAATATCCAACGGTATGCTATCTATGACCAGGTGCGTGGTGAAACTACCCATCGTCACTAGCTCGCTATTACCTATGCCCACTAATCGCCGCTTATCTTTACCTAACTCTACGTCCAACGTCAACATAAGTAAAGTATCGTATCGCATTAAGCACAGATCGGAGCCAGTGTCAATCAGCGCTGAAATTGTTTGCGTCATCATGTTGGGTGTGTTGAAGGTTATGTCCTTGAAGATCAAGCTACTCCGATGCCCCCTTTTCGTCACTGCATGCATACTGGCTTTGTCTTGCTTGGGTGGATTACTCTTCCTGCATTCGGCCACTCGATGGCCTTCTCCTCCGCAACCATAGCACTTAATGGGGTTTCGTGGGCAGTTCTTGGCGAAATGAGAAGTATCGCCACATTTAAAACATCTACTCCTCACCGAACTGGAACTCGGTACAACTTTGTTTGATGACGTTAGTTGATCTTGGTTCGCCGCCGACTGTTGACTCTTCCCTGCAGTAATTCTTTCGTAGATCTGGATTTGTTCTTTAAGACCGCTGATGGACTTCGCCTGGTACAGGTTAATTTTATTCGATTTTGAGTCCGGTATACCGTCGATGAAGTATTCTATTAGGCTGATGTCATCTAGGTTTGCAGACCTGCCGATTTCCATCAGACTATGCAGGTACTCGCGTAAATCTTCATTTGGACGTTTACGGCGATTCCTCAATGCGCGATGTACCTCGACTGCCGACGTTGCCGTTCCGAATTCCTTCTTCAACGCTGACTTGAGCGATGCCCAACTACTGATACCTGCCTGGCTACGAACAAACATTTTAGCAGCCCCTTTTAATAACTGCTTGGAATAGATATATTTTAGTCTTGCAACCACTGTTCGAGGCTGGGCTGACCTGATCCGCTGAATGGAGTCAACGAATCTTCAATATCACGAAGTGTGAATATTGAGCGTTCGGTGGTGGAACCACGTTCGCTGCGCCTGCTACCCGCGTCGTCGAATTCCGCATCTTCATCTTCGCTAACATTCAGGCCGAAGTGTTCCATCAACCTGTCCTGTAGCGTAGCTTTACGTCCACTGGTCATTAACCCTTGTCTTTCCAGGTTTTCCTTAAGTCCGTCTGNCCTGGCTACGAACAAACATTTTAGCAGCCCCTTTTAATAACTGCTTGGAATAGATATATTTTGGTCTTGCAACCACTGTTCGAGGCTGGGCTGACCTGATCCGCTGAATGGAGTCAACGAATCTTCAATATCACGAAGTGTGAATATTGAGCGTTCGGTGGTCGAACCACGTTCGCTGCGCCTGCTACCCGCGTCGTCGAATTCCGCATCTTCATCTTCGCTAACATTCAGGCCGAAGTGTTCCATCAACCTGTCCTGTAGCGTAGCTTTACGTCCACTGGTCATTAACCCTAGTCTTTCCAGGTTTTCCTTAAGTCCGTCTGCTGTCAACGCTAAAATCTGTTCTCGGTCCATGGTCTTACAAATTCGCTTAATGTTAAAATCTCAGAATTGTAGGTAAATGCTATTATTGTAAAATATGTTGAAAGTTGAAATATGGAGAATATTTAATCTTCAATTACAAATTAAACTGCTCACAATTTACAAAACAAATGTTGCAATATCAAACGCTTTAAAATTATATAATTATATTTGGTACTTTTTTTATGACCACCAGTGTACTGTATTAAAATTTTTATGCTATCCTAGTTTTATTCGCCACGACTGTGTGCAATTTAACTACACTGGACCGCTAGGCATATGCCTGTATACATGTGTACACGCAACCGTTCTTATGAACAACAAAATTACTAAACAGTATTATACATACGTACAAGTAAAAAGAAATTACAAGAACAATAACACTTAGCTTGCTATACGTTGTCAAACCGTTGTCCTCTACCCTGGCGCCGTTGTGGTGGAATGCTTCCGTTGTCGTCCTCTGCTGCGTTATGCTGCTACGTCGCCGTTGCGCCGCTCGCTTATCCGTTGCGCTGTTTTGCGTTTCGCTACTGCTGACTTGATGGTCTCGTTGCTTCACGCCTGCCTAGTAGTTCTCGCTGCAACTGCCGAGCCTCTGCCACTACTAGCGATGTTGCTAGCGCCGTTATATTTGTGGCCTTTTTGCCTTAAAGCTCGCCGTTAGGACCGTTGTAGCGGTTTGGCAAAAGTACACCTTGCACAATATTAAGTTGTTTTAATTGATTTGTATTTTACCCGATTCCGCCGATTATATTCATATATTATCTTGAGTTTTAGGATTTAGTTTTTGCCAACTTAGTTTTTAGTTTTGCAAACTTAGCTTTTAGTTTATTTGCAACCGCACGAAAAAAATATATTTCGAAATATGCAAATGTCCGCTGCTCACTTTTGCGCGCAAGCCAATGTACATATTCACATACACGAGGAAATGTCCTATTCTTTTTAATTTATNGTAGGAAAGCCCTTACTACTTCGAATAAAACACTCGTTTTACATATATAGTCGGTTAACGCCGGGTGTACAAATATTTATTTAATATTTAAGAAAATGTTTAATTACATAGATTGCAGCGTACGATGTGCGTTGGGTCGCGGTAGTTTGATGACTGTCCTTTTATGTTTCTGTTCATTCGTACTTCGGTTCGTTTGGCAGTGTGGAGTATTGTCGTAGGTCAGGGTTGCGTTTTTAAGTACGGCCGTACGTTAGTGCGCCAGTGAGTCAGTACTAATTTCCGCTGCGAGTAGTCCGTGCGTTGGTTCCCACATAAATGTCAAACCTAAACCTTGATTTCAGTAACTTTACCTGCACATTTTTCTTTTTCTGAATTAATTTTTTTCGTAAGTGCTTTGGAAGTGCTGGGTTGACTAGAATTATCTTGGTGTTTTTTGGGTTCTTGAATGAAAATAGAGCACGAAAGTTTTAAAAAGTGAATCAAAACCTTTATTTAAGCAGTCTTACCTGTACACTTTTCTTTTGCAAAATTTAGT